GTATAGCATCTGGTTTTAACCTGTTCTCCAAAAAATTAAGAAACATATTTTTTTCAAAATGTTTTCCACATAATTTAATACTTTTTTGATGTAGAATGTCAGCTGGCAGTTGACATCGCTCTAACCAAATTTTACATCTAAAAGTGTAATAAAAAAATGATTAATTTATACTAAAAAACACAGTTGACTTGGTTCTTGTTACATATTGTAGGTGCACTGCATAGTTTACTAGACTTAAAACATTTGGTTTATTGTGCAACTGTGTAATATTATGTTATATATTTAACAAGTACCATTGAATTGTTTGATAATTAACATCATTATAAATTATAATATAAAATACTTACCGAGCAGGATCTTTGGGAAAAGAAAAAAAACTAACAGATTCTTTTTGAATTTTCAGTTCTCCGCACGATTTCACAATGCATTTAAATGAATAACCACTCTTTCGGCTCGACATTGTTATATTATGTAGATATCTAACAAAATGTACAATATTATTCACAAAGGCACAGACCACAAGAGAACAGTTAAAAGCAGTACGCACTTAAAATAAAAACCGTGACAAACGCTCTTGTTAAGTTTTTTACTTTTTTAATAACCTTAAATCATGAATTATGATACCAGTTGTTTACCTGATAACACTAAATTGATAAAGTAGCCAACGCCAACATGGCCGTCACGTTTTTGTTTACATTTAAAGTGTCCCTTCTGATTTAATCTATTCTGTGTTTATACCAAAACATTATCAATTTTGTATATTATCAATTAACATGGATATACCTACAACATACTAGCTAATAGCTATCAGTAATTTGTTCATTGAAAGCTAAAAATAGCTTAAATAATAAATATTATTGACTAAAAAAAAAGAAAATTAAATTTTGTTTTTTAATTACTTGTAGAATTTAAAATAAAATGTATTGAATATATATATGTTTTATCATTTATTAGGTATTTAAATGAGCACATACCTAGGTTTAGGTATTTTCGTTCCATAATAATTTGTTTTCAACTGATCCCCCCCCATACAAAAGTTATGTATACGCCACTGAACTCGAGGTCCTCCGGCCTCCGCTCATGCGTATAAACGTAAAATCGAAAACTTTGGAAGGCCATGGCCCATAACTTCGAAACCAAGTGTGAGCGACAAATTCTGATTACACCATCGTTATTAACTCGATGAGTTACAAAAGTTTCGATAAAAAATTCAAAATGGCGAAGGGGGACTAAACTGCATTTGTTCCCACATTGCCCAAATGTTCATGTCATGTGAATTGCCTAAATATTACTCCTTAAAACATGATATGCAGGAGACACCATGGCTTTTCCATTTTTTCGTGAGGATTTACCTTTTGTACAAAATCGTCGACGTTTTGTGTAAGTACTATTAGTATGGAGATGCTATAATTAGTAGAGGTAGTTTTATAACCAAAACATATTTATACTATTTTGAATTTTAATATTTTATGATAATAATATAATAATTAAATAATATATTATAATATCTATATTAAGCTCCGTTGGAATTATACGTATATAATCCCACCCACCCCTCCTCCATGAACACACCACAGGTGCCTGTAGCATTTAGCTTCTAAGTCAGCAATCCCCACCCACCACTAGAATTTTGGAAAGTGCTAAATATTATTTTTGAAAATTACTTTCGGGCCGCATGCAGTGAAAAATTTAAATTTGGGTATAATATTGACTTAAAAATATAAAGTGTCTTTGTTGGGCGTATCTAATTATTCTCCCGTGACTCGGGTGTAAAGATTCCTAGTTATATTTTGAATGATAATAATTAATAATTGTAAGTTATAAAAGTTAAACAAATATTATCTTATTATGAATCACGAATTAAGATATATTATATTAAGTATAAGTTTTGCAATTTGCGATCACCATTCAATATTTCAGTATTCACCACGAATTAAGATATATCTTAATTCGTTAAGATATATCATAATTCGTTAAGATATATCTTAATTCGTGGTATTCACCGGTAGGCAGTAGCATATTATATAAGTTTATTCTAAAGACTGTGGTCACGATGTTTTTCTATTATCTATGCTACAGTAAAACTCCAGCGGTTCTCGGTGGCGACACTGGCACCGGAACGCTTGCAATGCTAAGGCATTAGGGCACTATGATGGGTACTAGGTATGCTACATTGCTAGAGCGCTATTTTTCGACTAATAATGTTATGTGAATATGAATTTTCACCCCTTTATTTTATCATTTTATCATTGATAAAAGAGTCGCAAAATGGTGGCATAGCATACCCATAACCCATGGTATGTAGAGCCTTAATTACACGTGCGTGATTTACGCGCGTCGGCAGTTGGCAACCCTGTAAACAACGTTCGGGTACTACAACAGTGAGTAGCAATAATGATACAATTGTTTACAGAATAATAATAATCACCATTTATACGGATTCCCGGTTATCACGATTGAATTAAATATTAATAGTGGTGACTGGTGAGCGTTATTCGTATTTATTTCGTTACTATAATAATAAATTATTGTCGTTCGTTTATATTAAGTCATCGTCGTCCGATCATCCAAAGCGTTCCACAGCAGCGTCCTCTCGGAAAATCGCACATCGCTGCATTCCAACGATCGCAAGAATTCAGGAAACCATCGCGCAATGCACCGGCAATAGACGTATTTGTCTGCCCAGACTGAGGTAATAACATAGTTATAGACATAACATTATGCGCGCGTTTCATGATAGTAAATACTATTGTAGGGCCTGTTAAATGTTTAAATATCGTGATCGGTCGCATCCACTATTTCAAAATTGTCCCGTTTGCGGTTGACGCGCGACTGCGCAACCGGCGTCTGGCATTAACGCCGCCGCCGCCACTGGGTTCGACACTTTACTGCCGGCAAGACCGAAAAGTTCGTACTCCGTAGCACGATTTTTAACACAGATAATACATGTATATTATGTATTATCTATGATTTTAAAGAACTGTTTTATAATGTGCTCCGTAGCGACTTGTTTGATAATATAAAATATAATATAACGTGAACCTACCTACTACCTATACAACAATGATTATAAAAAATATTATAATGAATGTTTCGTGGTCGTGATTTTTATTAGTTATTACTGTGTAGTCCGACGCCGATGATAAAATATAAAATAATAAATTCTAGTGAAATTTAAAATTTCATTTTTTCCGTGGTAATAAATAATAACTAATAACAATTAACATTGTTATTGTTATGTGGTGGTGGAAGTGTAGGATACGTAATCAACAGGGAGAAATTGAGAAACGTGATAAGCGTATACCAACAATACCACAGAATAATACCAAATACAAAATATGAGTTACCTCTGTAATATTGAAAATAGATAACAAGTAACTACCGTCTCTGTCTGTACTCTGTAGTCCGTATAGATGCAGTATGTTTGTTTGTGTTTGTTTCTTTCATTATTGTAGTTTTTATTATGTTTCAACGATTTACGAATCCGTTGGGTTTTAAAAATTCAGGATCGAAAGTAAGTAAAAGTTCTGAAATTCTGAAAATAATTATATGACCAATAGATATATTATACCATTCAAGGCCGTTTTATAATATATTTTTAACATTGATGATTGATCTCCTTGATGTTGTCCTCATTGCGTTTGAGTCGAATAAAATATACATATAATCTTGAAATGATTTAAAATAAGTAAGTACCTATATTGTCTACACTTATTTTACCCATGATTCTTATTTTACTGGTTAATTCGGTAATAATTGACTCCTCAACTTGCTTCAATAATTAATTTTAGTAATTTCTATTTAGCTTTATATTTATGTCAGTAGTGGATGTTGTTGGTATTTTTTCGTGAGGCTAAATATATTTCCCACTCCACCATCATATAGTCATTATTCAGTGATTATGAATTACTGTATATTGTTTTGTTACTACCTAGTAAAAAACAAATAGAAGTTGGTTTGTCTTCTCACATCTACTAAGTGTCATCTCTGTCTTACAATTAATATACATCATAGTAAATTTGGGTTGTTAGGTATAATATTAATAATGAAGTACATTTTATCAAACATAAAGGTCCAGCACATTATTTGTGTTTGTACAAGGATTTTTTTCAATATTTCTTAATCCAGTTATGACTTATGCATTCCTAAGTTAATTTATTTTATATTCTTCCCTAAAAAATTGAATTATCATCAATAAACTGATGTAGGTACAATTAAAGGTAATATTTAGGTAGGTAATCATTAAGTTGTATAATAGGTCAATTCACTCTAATATTAAAGCTGACAACACAAAATTGGTTCTGCTAATTTACTTTGTTGTATGTTGATACTTGATAGTGATGAGTGATGACCCATGTGGGTGAAATTCAGAAAATCATGCTTATTAAATTGTATTTAACATGATAAAATCAAATAAGTGTTTCTAATATAATATCATGGCAACTAATTAGATACAGAACCATTACTAATATATACAAATTTTGCGACATACTGCAATTGAAAATTAATGAAATGTAGATGATAGTTTAAACAAGGCAGAATTAAATTATTTTCAGCCGAGTAGATAATAATGTATTTTGTTTTTTGAACACTGCCTTCTACAAGTTGCAACATCATTGTAATACTGTGCACTTATTATTATAAAAAGCCTGACAGTATAATTATTAATAATAATTTTATAAAAATGTTTATTGGTGGTGGGGGATTGAACCTATATAACTCCCTCCTGTATATAATGCTGATTGTTTATATATTTTATTGTTATTATAGTATAGGCAAATGTAGGGAATATAATAGGTATAAGTAGTCATCATTGGTTGACGTAATATATGTGTTAGTTGGACAAGTGAATGTTATTTTATGAATACAATTTATATTTGAATAAATTGTGTACCTGTTACTGTGTATCTATTTATCTATTTATCAATAGTTGAACTAAAATATTTATTTTTTTCAGAAATATTGATTTTTGATTGAAGAACTTCCCTGCAAAATTAATCATGGCAGATACAAAAAGGTCTAATTTAACGGCATTGAATGGTCTGTCATTAAATGCATCATTAAAATCCAATCCTACAAAAAAGCTAGTAGTGAAAAATCTTAGAAAGAAACCTATGTTACCTGACAATTATCAGGAACAAACATGGAAGAAGCTACGCGAAGCTGTTATTGCTATACAAACTTCAACTGCCATTCAATATACCATGGAAGAGCTGTATCAAGCTGTAGAAAATATGTGCAACAATAATTTGGCTGCAGCATTGTATAATAACCTTATTGAGCTTAGTGAAACACATGTTAAAAAACTATTATTGAACTTTACTGAAGTAACAAATGATAAAATCATATTTTTAAAAAAAGTAAACCATCATTGGTCATCACACTGTGAACAAATGTTAATGATACGCAGTATATTTCTATTTTTAGACCGAACTTATGTACTTCAAAATCCTAATGTTAACTCCATTTGGGATATGGGCTTGAATTTATTCCGTCATCATATCATGTTGAACACTAATGTTCAAAATCGAGCAGTTGATGGTTTGCTTCTACTCATAGAAAAAGAAAGACAAGGTGATATGGTAGATAAAACTTTGCTCAAATCATTGCTTAGAATGCTCTCTGACTTAAAAATTTATCAAGATGCTTTTGAAGGAAAGTTCTTACAAGCCACTGAACGTCTTTATGCAACTGAAGGTTTAAGATTAATGCTTGAGCTTGAAGTTTCCGAATATTTGTATCATGTTGAGAAGCGTTTAAATGAAGAAAATGAACGTCTCATTCATTATTTAGATACATCTACGAAGTGGTCACTAATACATACTGTTGAAAAACAATTGATAAGCGAACATGTTAGCTCCATATTACAAAAAGGATTGGAACAATTGCTCAATGAGAATAGACTGGACGATCTAAAGTTGATGTACAGCCTATTGACACGTGTAAAAAAAGGACTGGCAGAGCTCTGTATAAATTTTAATGCTTACATAAAAAAATATGGGCGAACTATTGTTATAGACCCAGAAAAAGATAAAACTATGGTACAGGAATTATTAGATTTCAAAGACAAAATGGATGTTATTGTTAAAAAATGTTTCCAAGCAAATGAGAAATTTGGTAACAGTTTAAAAGAAGCATTTGAAAATTTTGTTAACCAACGGACAAATAAACCTGCTGAGCTTATTGCCAAATTTGTTGACTCTAAACTTAAAGTTGGAAATAAAGAATCTACAGAAGAAGAGCTAGAGAAACTTTTAGATAAAATTATGGTTCTGTTTCGGTTCATTCATGGCAAAGATGTTTTTGAAGCTTTTTACAAAAAGGATTTAGCTAAAAGATTGTTGCTTGGGAAATCTGCGAGCGTGGATGCTGAAAAAAGTATGCTGTCCAAATTAAAACAAGAATGTGGCGGAGGGTTTACATCCAAACTTGAGGGCATGTTTAAAGATATGGAGATTAGTAAGGATATAAATGTGGCTTACAAACAGTATTTGGCACATGTTAAAGATATTCAACTCTCTGTTATTGACATGACCGTCAATATATTGACTATGGGGCACTGGCCAACTTATGTCGTAACAGAAGTGGCCATGCCCAACGAAATTATTGAATACCAAGACTGTTTTAATAAGTTTTACCTAGCCAAACACAATGGAAGAAAATTACAGTGGCAGCCAACTCTAGGTCATTGTGTGTTGCGTTCTCAGTTCAAGCAGGGTAATAAAGAGTTACAGGTTAGCTTGTTCCAAGCAATGGTGCTGTTGTTGTTTAACGACTATAATATTCTCCCTTTTAAAGAAATAAAAACTGCTACCAACATGGAAGATACTGAATTAAGGAGAACACTGCAGTCTTTGGCATGTGGTAAAGCAAGAGTGTTGATAAAGGTGCCCAAAGGACGGGAAATAGGTGATAATGATCAGTTTTCCATCAACAATGATTTTTGTAATAAGTTATATAGAATTAAAATCAATCAAGTGCAGATGAAAGAAACAAATGAAGAGCAGAAGGCAACTGAAGAACGAGTCTATCAGGATAGACAGTACCAAATGGATGCAGCTATTGTGAGGATAATGAAAATGCGCAAGTCACTCATGCATAATCTTTTGATCAGTGAACTGTTCAATCAGCTCAAGTTCCCTGCCAAGCCAGCTGATTTAAAGAAACGCATAGAGTCTCTTATTGACCGAGACTATATGGAAAGAGACAAAGATAATCCTAATCAATATAATTATATTGCATAATTTTTTTTTTCTGAAAATATGTTGCTTTCTTTATATAATATATTTTTAATTATGTCAATGTATATTTTCAAATTTAAATTTGTGTATATAATGTATTTATTTATAGAGAAAATATACTGACAAGACGATTGTTTACGGTCCTTAAATATTTTCCCAATATATTAGTGAAGTGATCACATGATAATAACAGTCTGGTTGTTAGAACATAGTACTTATCTTGTTTTTATATTAGTAGCTTAATACAGTAATGTTTTTTCTTATGGAATACATTTTCTTCTTTCTATTTTAATTTAGCATCTAATCCATGTGTCGACTTTGTTTAATTTGGATTTTTATTTTGACATAGTTCACTTATCTACTGTGTTTACCTCAGATATGATGAATACATTTTATTAATTTAAGGAGATCATACATGTTTGTGAATATTATATTTTATATTGTTAAAATTAAAATTAAAAAAAGTAATAAGGTACATTACTTTTTGTATGAATATTGTAAAAATGTTGTAATAATATGAAAAATTCATAGTTGATTGTATTTTTATTTTATATCTAATTAAAATTAGAAACAAATTTCTTTTTGGCATAATATCAAAAGAAAAAAGTACAATATCTGTAGTAAGTATTTATTTGATTTAATATTTTTCTATAATCGTTATAAATGTTGTGTTAATTGAATTAAATGTACTAAAAATAAATGTATAATATTATAATACATCAAGGTTGAGGAAGCCAAAGGGCATGATTAATGATTATTCTTAATATACTCATATGGTAGCAGAACTACAAGAAAATTAACTAAAATAATATAAAAAAAGGTACTCTGCTGTACAGTAGGTTACAAGTGGGCCATTGTATTATAATGGATGGTATTAAATTTGAATTCAATGATATAATATCATTGTCTAAGATTCTGAGCGTAGACGATATGTCAGTCTAGGTATAAGACATATTATATACTTATCTATGGTATTAAAAAAAATTGACTTATAATAAATTCCAAATTTATCATATCACAATATCCATTATAGGTACTTATAACGCGTTATACATCAACAACAAGCCCTGATACTATCATAGAAATATAATAGTGTACCTACTTTAGAAGTTTCAAGTACCTACCCACGAATGATATTATACAATCACAACAAAATAACTAAAATAGTTATTCTAGGTTTTAGATTCTGAGTGGAACGATGAATGTATTGATTTTACAATGATGTGGTTTTTTTTTGGTTTTTTATTTTTTTTTTTTTGTGTCTGTTATCGCATTTTAGGACAGTGAAAGTGCTTGGATTTTCTTCAACAGTATCTTTTCTGATAGGAAAGTGAATCTAGTTGGTACTTTGGGGGGTCAAAAGTAAAATTTCCCAGTAGTTTTCAAAAAAAAACAATAGAAAAATTAAGGAAAAATGGGAATTTTTACGCAAAATCTGTTTTCGAGAAAATCGATTTTGGTTTTTGGTGTAACTTTAAAACAAATGACCGTATAGATACATGAAATTTTGGCACCGGTCCAATGTGCGACCTACGGCCATTGTGTGTATTTTCCTATATGACATGGGGAAATATATTTATTTTTGTGAAAAGAAAAGAGATACAAACGTGATAATTGTAAATCGTTCGGCATTCAGTTACGGTCTCACTGTCTTTGTCGAATTACGTTATTGTGAGTTTTAGGTACTGGTTTTAGTAATTTTAAATACGACGCTATTGTGATTTTAGTGAATTTGTGTTTTTTTATTATGAGTGCTACATTAGGATACCTATATCGACATATTATACACGATGAAAAAATGTGTGTACAATTCTTGCAAGACCGAGAATTATTACCATATCTAAATGAAAATAATAACCGTTGTACCTACCAAAGTGAGAAGTAACGAAGAGTGTGGTGGAATAGGTATTAAAGGAATGTGAGAGAACGAGTAAAAAACGAAACTCAGATGGTACCTTTAAAAAAAACATTTCTTTTAAGGGTTCAAAAAGAGGTGGCCAAACTTATTGTTAAATTCGAAAACAAAATCAATTTTTTTCGTACTTGGATAAATAATAGATGTCACAGTAATTTATCATTAACCGAGATAATGGAATTAGTATGGCATTGGACACATTTGGTACCAGTTCATCAAGTTGTACAATTTACTGAGCGAAGTAACAGTACAGTTGTCGATTGGTTTAATTTATGTCGAGATGTGGCTATTTATAAATTTGACAAGCGATCAAAATTAGGTGGAAAAGATGTGATAGTTCAAATGGATGAATCATTCAAAGGAAAACGCAAATACAACCGTGGTCGTCTTCGATGTGGTGATATTAGACCAAATGAGGTAACTGAAAATGATAGTGACGCACATTGGACCGGTACCGAAATTTTCACTGGTTGTTTATATTTCCATTTTTTATACATGATAAAATTTTCTAAATATTTTGAGCTTTTTACGGACATTTTTAGTTTTTTTTTCTATAAATATCAATAAAATTTTATTTGTTGGGTATAAAAGCTTAAAAATTTAATAGAATGCTCCTAATATATTGTTTCAAAGACAGATGAAAAATATTAAAAATCCTTAGTCACAGTTTTTTATAATAAGCATTTAAATTCCAAATACATATTGACAAAATACGTGAAGATGACGAAAATTTGCAAATTATTTCGAGTTAGATATTCATAAAAATTTTTCTTTTTAAATCTAAGATATAAAATTTTAATGCAAGATTCCTCATAAGTTTGTCTACCTTTATCAAAAAAAAAAAATGTCTACAAGAAACTCAAATTAAATTTTTATGAACGTTTGAAATTCATATTTTTACAACATTTGATATTCACTCGATTTCTCATGTAACGATTTTCTAATTTTGTTGTAATTAAAAAGCGAATAACTGTAGATACTTGACAATTTTACTAAATGTTCATATTAGCATTTCCTATACACCATATAATTTTGAAAATATTTTGACTCTTTTTGAGCTATTTACGGACATTTTCAGTTTTCATTTTTTTAAAATTTTTTTTTTCTTTAAATATCAATAAAATGTTATTTATTGGGTAAAAAAATGTGAAAATTTAATGCAAAGCTCCTGATATATTATTACAATAACACTTGTAAATATTAAAAATACATAAGCACAATTTTTTTTTATAAGCATTTAAAGTTCAAATGTTGACAAAATGTATTAAATTTAAAATTTAATAATAATTTTATAGTTAAAAATTTATAAAATGTTCAACTTTTATAGCTAATGATTGAAAATTTAAAATAAGATTCTACGTAAACATACATAAATTACTTTATTCACCTTAGTATCATCAAATATACTTAGTAATATCATAGGCTAACACTCAGAATCTAAAATATTAAATTATAGGTAAGTTCATAATAACTAATATTATAATAGGTAAGTATACCAGTATACGTATTTTTGTCAAACTTTTTATTTTATCTGGGAGAGACGGAGTCGGTCCTGTCGATTCTGAACATCGGCCCATCTTGTAAAATTAAATCTCCCCGTTTGCCCCCTACCTCTCCGCCAGCGATTCCACTGCATTATTATTAAAAAAAAAAAAAAACAACAACTTATTTTTATACCTAACAATAAAATATAAAATGCACTAAAATTATAACAACTGTGTAATGTATTATGTGTCATTTTGTTCATCATTGAACATGATGACATAAATCTTGACATTTATTATTTATGTAAGTACCTACAACTTACTTGAACCTGTGTATGTTCTTTTCCGCGTAGTCTGCTGAGCTGATGGCGGTCACCGATATAACGAAAAGTGAAGCGAAAATCGAATAGAAAATTAAGTTAGACAGCCAGTCTCGGAGAGGACTGATCAAATGGTTCTTCATGTCTATCACCAAAAGTGACTGGACGATTGTCACGAACGCCAACAGATATCTGAACACCGTAACGATAGTTCCGAAACACACAAATGCCGCTTTGTTCATTTTTTGCCTTCGTACCTATACGTAGGTACCTATGCGTGTCTTAATGACGTTCAGTGTTAACCTAGTATGTATATTTTGAAAAATCGACGGTATAAGATCTAATATTAAGGGGACACATCACAGGAGACTGATATAATATATTGTTGTATTATATAGATAGCCACCATAACGCAGTAACCAGGTAACCCGCGATTATAGTTATTCACCAGTTAAGTCAGTTGTCAAAGTAACGATTGTCATCTCTATAATATATTATCATCTGCATTCCTGCATACACATACGCAATGAGATAAAACCGATGTTCACATTATTTATCAATTACAATGGTACCTATATTTTTGCATAAATAAAATATGTAAAAAAACAAATTTTAACTTTACTATGGACCTATCAAATTAGGTTAACAACCCATATTATTAATTTACAAGCATTATAAAGGAAATATTGATCAGTTATATATTATTATATTTTAGTGATAAATGTAAGAAATAAGTACCTACATCATACGCATTTTTTCTCGATATTTAAACTACTGGCAGTACCTACTACCTACCTACTAGTTTATTATAACTAATTAATTAAAATCAATTGAAGACTGAAGTATACTTACTATTTAATTAATTAGTTTATAACAAAGTTCTTAAATATGTACCTAAATAAAACAATAGTCAATATTTGATAAGGCAATGTGAGATTAACCATATTCTGTATACCTTATACATTTTGCAATAAGTAACTCCTAATAACTTCTACACAATAACATTTAGTTTTTTCTAACTGAAACATGATTAAATAAATACCTAGTCTATAATATTAAATTTTGTGTCTACAGTGCAAGAGAAAATCAATAATATTTTTATTATTTTAGTAGTATTTTATGGGATGTAGAAGAGAGTATCCTGTTAGGTATAGGTAGTGGTGTTAAGACGAATACTGGATAAGTTCAATAAAAAGTTTATAATGATTTTTTTCTGATTAGTAGGTATACATAAATACATTTTACTTTTTTATATATTATTTTTTAATTAAAGAAAAAAAACAGGTTAAGGTTTTCGTATTGGATTATAAACTTGAGAAATGGTATATCGAACTATAACTATTTGACGTATAGTATATAGAAAAGTTCGAAAACAAATACAAATTATGTTCCGATGAATAACAATACATCAGTTTTTATTAACAAACAATGAATAATTGAATTACGAAATTGTTTCTCTTCAACGAACAGAACTTTCAAGGAAAGGTAACCTACCAAATTGGAATAATAATGCATTTAATTATTTTAAAGTACACCCAAAATAATATTTGAAATGAACTTACTAAAACACGGAAATCTGAAGATATTATTTAGGTTTTTCATAAGAAAATTGAACAGACATTTTGTATCAATTACATTTTTGTTCATAATATTTCTAAAAAGTAAAAATGAATACAATATTATTTCCAGATGAGGTTTATAAAAATATGAGGAATTAAAACTAATGGTACAATTACGGATGCAGTAAGGCACAGCTATTAAAAAGCTAAAATATTGAATACCGGACACACTATTCGTGAAATGAACGAACTACTTAATAAATTGCCTATATCAAACTCCTTAAAAGCGGTCGATATCGAATCCCCTCAAAATCTATTGCTTCATAATATTTATATAATGCTTACCAGTACTAATATTTATTTAATCCGTCGTAATATATTAGGTAACTATATATGTAAATTATTTTGTAGATAACAATTTATAAAATGTTCAATTTTTATAAAAAAAGATTGTAAATTTAAAACAAGGTGACAATAACGATTTAATAGAGCCACCTTAATATCTAAAAATTATATACCTACACAGTATTTTTTAATAAATATTGAAACGGAGAATATAGATTTCAGTTATTATTTTGTTATTTAAAAATATTATTATAATGTAAGCTGACAGAACTTCTTCACTCAGAATAGATTTTCGTATACAAGGTTTTATTATTGAATTCAATTTTAACATATTATCCACGGCGTAATTAGGGCGCATATAGTATCATAGGCGCAATTAGGGGGGGGGGGCTTGGGGGGGCTTAGCTCCCCCAGTTTTATCCATAGCCCCCCCAGTTTTTATACGATTTTACTTGAAGCTTATTAAAATTATTATAAAAATTTCAAGTATCTAGGATTATTCGTTTTTAAATTACGACAAAATATCAAAAATTGATAGATGAAAATTCTTTAATTTACTGATAAAAATTGAAAATTGAATGTTGTACACATTTTAGATTCAAACACTCATAAAAAATGTATGTTACTTTCCAGTAAACTTTTTTTTTTGTTTAAGATAGTACCAATTGTGAGGAGTCTTTTATCAACATTTATAATGTTAGCTATGAAAGGAAAAACTTATATACATTTTTAACTCTTTGAGGGGCGAAAATTTCCTTTAGAAAAAAGACCCATGTGGGCAATATGTCTCTTTACCATAACATTTAGTACGTATATCAAAATATTGATAATGATAATAAATTATGAAAAACGCAAGAAATGGTATCAGACCAGCGGCAGTGATATTGTTTGATGCATGTATAAGATGATAATAAGGTGATTGGTATGCTGACCATCATCAAAAAAATATTAAAAATAATTTTAAAAGTGGTTAAAATAGTAACCACCGCACCTCAACGGTAAAAAAAAAAGTGGTTAGCATACTAACCACGGCCCCTCAAAGAGTTAACTGAAAATTTAAAAAAAAATTTGAAGAATTCTAAATTCTAATATTTGATATACCTATAATCATTACAAACAATAATTTGTGTTTCTGCTAAAAACTAAGAAATAAAAAAAAAATATTAAGTACCTAAAGCTAAAAAAAACTATTTTTTTCATATGATTTTTCAATTTTTGATGTTTTTGAACTGGGGGTGCTGAATCACCCCCAAGCACCCCCCTAGTTGCGCCTATGATGTATGGGACAAGAAAGATTTAGTTATTTATCTATTTTATGTATAGAAAGAGACATTGCTAATTTAATCGACACTCAGCTCATTGTTGATAAATTTTCACAAAATGATAGGCGTGTTACTTTAATATAAAATAGGTAATGATACTATTAATATGTTATGTGTTATGGGTTTGTACTTATGTAATTTATTATAATGATATCCTCATGGGGATATCCTCAGGGGTAGAACATTTTTTGATTACACATGACACTTGTAAATATATTTAGCCCCCTCAGATTTTGGACCCTAGTTGCGCCTATGATTATCCATTACAGACTACAGTGCTCCACACCACACCCAATGTACTGCAGAGAGGTTCTACTTACCCACTTTTTTTTAAATATTATTTCATTAAAATAATTTGTATACCTTATTATTTAAAATATTTATCATTGTGTCAATCTATAAAATATTTTCTTTGTGATTTTAATCTCATTATATTATATTACTACTATGGTTAAATACTGAAATAAATTACCAGTTTATATATACAATTAATGACTATCCATTAAATATAAACAATTCACAGTATTATCGAATATTAATTAAGTTGCTTAATTTTTTTTTAATATTCAAGATACCATTATAATAAACTGCCAACTACTATTATAATACTCGACACAATTTTATCGATAAATAGATTTTGTTATTAGATTAATTCACTCATGTTAATGCTCAAGTACAATCAAACATGGTTTTGGTATAGGTAAGTGTGAGATAATGACGCACTTCTATGTTTGATACTTATCAAATTTTATCTTAAAATACCTTTTACATATTTTCTTGTAACGATTTAATTTAATAAATATATATCTAAATATAAGTATTATGTATATGTATGTGGAAATGTATAATGTATATTGTATGTAACTATAATATTATAAATGTATAGGTACCTATATTAGCTGTTATTTTATCTCCAATTTTTAATCAACTATGACGAAAAATAGCATACCTACTCGTGACCAGTTATATTAATATTATACAGAAATATTTAACAAAAGCTTAAAAGATAATCTCATGATTTATAATATTAATAATATTATAGATTTATATTTTATATACATAATATATAATATGGTATTCTTGATATTGGGAATTTGGAAACTATTGTTGTTCATTCATCTGTTCTGCAGATTTTAGTTTCTGATCGAAGACAATTTGATGATGGGTTAGTAAAATATTATTCTAGGTATTAGTATGTATAGGTAATAATATTGATTATGAATGTGTATTCATAAACAATAGTAATAGTATGGGTAGATTTACCTTGTTGGGCCATTTTCATACAGAGATCAAATTTTGTTTGCATAACGTGTCACACGAGTAATAAAAATAATAAGTAATAAAATATAATATGTGTGTCAACTCTCATACATTTTATGAATTTATGAACAATTATTCCTCCCCGACTAAAAAGTGTAACTGTGCAAGTAGGTAACTAATAACTAATATAGCCATGGGTATAAGAAGAAATAGGTACCTATAATATAAAATCCATTTACCATGAGTACTATAATATAGGTATGTCTATGTAGTATTTTGTATAGAAATTTAGAACATTACTAATTACTAATTACTTATTAGTCACACATCCAAGAACTAATGATAAAGTATATAACAATTTATAACTGTAAATTTTTTTCAAAAATTCAGGTACATAATATAATTAGGTAAAAGGAAAAATACGATGTGATGCACAATCAAACTTCCAATTAGTAATAATATAAATTGTAACTAAATTATTTACCTGACAAAATTAATAAATAATGTCAATAACAACTTTTTTTGGACTTTGAAATCTGCTTTACTTTTGTCTGCATTTAATATTCAAATACGATTGCTTTTATCTCAATTATCTAGTTTTTCGAGTTTTACTCGTATAGGCTATACATAATCCGATATAGTTAATATAGATATCTTTAGTTGGTGGGTATATTCACCGTGTACATATCGTACATTTGAAACTAAACAGTTGTCATTTTTGTCTGTAAAAATGTCAGAAATAGTACATATCACCAA